CATAAACATTTCATTACACCAAATACACAAAATAATGTTCTTTTTAGCAGCATCATATGACCCCTTTAACATAGAACCGATGAACAACTTATGGCTGAGTTCAGGAATGTAGTGCTCTAACACAGCCTCACCTGGTAGAGGGCGGAGCAGGAGCTCATTTACATTTGATTGCTAAAACACACCAAAACAGCAAATTATATTGCTTGAAGGAGACATATATTACATATTGTAAAAAGGGGCATAATAAGTCTCAGGTGTCCCCAGAATGTATTTGTGAAGTTTCAGCTCAAAATACCCCACAGATCATTTATTATATAAGTTTGAAAATGCCTATTTTGAGTGGAAGCAGAAACAGGCTGTTTTCATGCATGTCTTTTTAAATGCAAATGAGCTGCTGCTCCCCACTACAACTTTGCGCTGTGGATCGCTGGATCGGCTTTCACCGTGGACGGGAAGCGGAGTCCAGCCCGGAGTCGTCACGTGTTCTTCCGGACGCTCCTTCGTCGAAATCGCCGGCCGCGCCGTTCTCAAGCCCGCGCCTCTGCTCACTCTAACCCTCGACCCCTTTAACATAGAACCGATGAACAACTTATGGCTGAGTTCAGGAATGTAGTGCTCTAACACAGCCTCACCTGGTAGAGGGCGGAGCAGGAGCTCATTTACATTTGATTGCTAAAACACACCAAAACAGCAAATTATATTGCTTGAAGGAGACATATATTACATATTGTAAAAAGGGGCATAATAAGTCTCAGGTGTCCCCAGAATGTATTTGTGAAGTTTCAGCTCAAAATACCCCACAGATCATTTATTATATAAGTTTGAAAATGCCTATTTTGAGTGGAAGCAGAAACAGGCTGTTTTCATGCATGTCTTTTTAAATGCAAATGAGCTGCTGCTCCCCGCCGCCCCCTTTTCCAGAATAGAGCTGAGTCATTACAGCTCGTACCTGCAAAAAAAACATCTGTTTTGGTTCTGATTATCATGTTTATCGCGCTGAAATCATGTGTTTTAAACCATATTAGTTTAAACTTCTGATATACAGTTTTCTGAGTGCACACGCACAGAAAGCGGCTGTCACAGCATGCGAGTACTAAACTAAGTTCTCATTCACACACCAGTTTACGTTAAAAACACACGAGTTACAAAAACAGTGGGTTGTGTCTGTGAAGGTAAACAGCTGGGAAATAAATTGCATGTTTATTTTAGATCTGTGTGGTGTTACGACCCTCCTTTGGTTGTTAAGCGTCTAGGGACTAAGAAGGGGAACACTGGACCAGTTCAGACCATTACAAGCTTCACACTCGGTGTGTGAATGAAACTCCAGAATGAATGACTGGAGACTAAATCAAGCTAACTTGCTTTATTATTGAAGACCGTGACCGTTATTGAAGAGTTGTTTACACAAGACAAAAAGAGAATAGATATGTATATAAAAATAAATGAAATAATTATTTACAAAAGAATCCTAGACACACCGGCAGCTTTACAATATTGGAGAACTGGTTAAAGGGAGGTTAAAGGGAAACTGGATTGTGCCAAAAGAAAAAAGTAACAAAACCAAAAGGAATCTAGCTAACCCATTTTGGTCTAGTCCTAAACTAAAATAAAGAAAAATGTGAAAAGGAAAACATCTTCAACATCCGAGACGTCGTAACTCAACTTCACTAACTAATCAAACAAAAAATACAGAAAGTGGCACCGTGCCATAACTTACCTACCCCTTTACCTCCGTCCGGTTTTAACACATCTTTGAAAAAACTTTGTTAGGCTTTCAAATGTCACAGATCAGGAGTTTCGGGCCAGCCAAGTAGGTAAGTCCACAGCTGGACGTCAATCAGTGAGCGCGATGGAAGAACAACCCCCTCCCGTCATCACACCCAATCAGCTCATCCCGAATGATTGACAAGTGAGCCGACCAATCCGCACGTCACCTGCAAAAGTGAAAGTAAAAGGGATAGAGAGAGAACGTCTCAGGTTACTTACAGTGGGTACGGAAAGTATTCAGACCCCCTTCAATTTTTCACTCTTTGTTATATTGCAGCCATTTGCTAAAATCATTTGTTAATTTTTTTTCCTCATTAATGTACACACAGCACCCCATATTGACAGAAAAACACAGAATTGTTGACATTTTTGCAGATTTATTAAAAAAGAAAAACTGAAATATCACATGGTCCTAAGTATTCAGACCCTTTGCTGTGACACTCATATATTTAACTCAGGTGCTGTCCATTTCTTCTGATCATCCTTGAGATGGTTCTACACCTTCATTTGAGTCCAGCTGTGTTTGAACAAATTCAGAAGTTGCAAGTTGTGTCAACTTAAAAAAAATCATAGAAACAACTAAAATGCAAGATCATTTTTTACAGTGTATATATATATATATGTATATGTATGTATGTATGTATTGGAGTATATCAAAGAAGTAGCCCTTGAGACTGTTTTATCTCTTCAGGGAGCCCTCACTCACAAAAAGGTTGGAGACCCCTGGTGTAGGCTATACCTATGTGAAGCACAGACAAATATAACTTCATGTGTGCACCTTGAAATAAAACTTTGAACAAGACAGCATTTTGAATTTGCCATTTTAAATGCCATTGTTGAGATATAATTTCTCCTGCTAAATGGCTCCTTAGTTGCCATGCATCAGACCATTATTTGAGTTAGACAATGGTGCATTAGGCTTAGACAAGAGGATTTCCATTCATGTCAATGGAAGTACAAAACTTTACCCGGACATTGACCTGGATCTTTTGCCCAACCTTATTTTGCTGATTTTAATACGTTCCTGGTTCAACATATTTTGTTGATCCTGGAAAAACATTCTAGTTTCTTTAGAAAATTTTAGTCTTAACCATATCCCTACCTCTTAACCTACCCTTAATCAGGGCTGTACAGTGCGACATATACGCACGTGCTACTAAAAAACTGGTCTGTGCGATTAATAAATTTACCACTGTAGCACGTGTGCGATACAGTTTTGCATGTTCATAACACAGCCGCTTAATAGTGTGGAGTGATTTCATTGTGCTTGTTTGTATGTGTGAAATTGATTATACTTGGTAGTTAGGGGTGTGCGATATGACGATTTTTGATCGTGGACGATTGACCTAAATCATATTTAGGTCAAAGCTGTCAGTTGTTTGTGAACTAAATCTTCTGTAAAGGGTGATCTGTTTAAGCCCACTGAAATGCTTGAATGCAGGTCACATTAACATCAGAGTCTCTATGTTTTAGGTAAAATAAACATTAAAATAACACAGATTAAATAAAATAACTCATGCACATTCATCTTCCCCGCTGCTGTAACGTTAGCAGTTTTACTAAAATGCTATGCATTTAGCCCTATGTGACGTCTGTTTTTATATTGTTTGTCAGCACACATAGCCTAAGTTACTATGTATCTGGATCAACTGGCCGAGTAGACAAATATAAATGTTTAGTCGTAACCATGCTGAAAATAAGTCAATAATGTCAATAAACTGTCTAGCTAACGAGCTTGCTGGTTTTTAAGCTGAGCCCTGTCTGTGAAACCGGGCTAATATTTTATTGATTTATTGACTCTTTGGGCCTATTTACACCTGGTCACTTCATGTGATTTTACTGAATGGATAGCTATGTTTTATTAAATCATTTTATTTACACTTGGGCACATAAATGAGTCTCCACAAAACAGATATATATCCAATCTTCAATTCTCTCGCTTTATGCAGATTTGTAAGTGAAGTGACATGTGGCTAAGTATGGTGACCCATACTCGGAATTAGTGCTCTGCATTTATCCTAAGTGCACACATACACAGCAGTGAACACACACCCAGAGCAGTGGGCAGCCATTTATGCTGCGGTGCCCGGGGAGCAGCCTTGCTCAAGTGTGCACCTTGAAATATGTATTGGAGTATATCAAACTGAGGTGCTCAAGGGCACCTCAGTCGTGGTATTGAAGGTGGAAGAGAGCGCTGTACATTCACTCCCCCCACCTACAATCCCTGCCGGTACGAGACTCGAACCTGCAACCTTTGGGTTACGAGTCCGACTCTCTAACCATTAGGCCACGACATCCCGTTTAATGGAGTTTATGCCACCAGATGCATCAGATATGAGCTGCACTTTATTGATCATCAGCTAATTTTAAAAATCAAAGACCGCAATAGAAGAGAGAAGCATTGGCACTTAAGATAATTTAGTCTCACTACTTTAAATCAATATGTGTAAATGAACTGTGTTAAGGATTTGCAACTTACCTTCAGTTTAATTTGCGGCAGTTTGCGCGTAAACAGCTGAAACAGCTACTCTGCATGCAATACGTTGCAGTAGCGCTGTCATATCTGGATATAACATGTCATATAGCCTAAAACACACTCTCACACGTTCATTTTTAACATTTTTGGGAGGAGTAAAACTTACATATATAGTTTCAACCCAACCCAAAGCATTTAGACTTGTCCGGTGTTCGCCTGGAATGGATCCCAGACCAACTCCTTAACACTAGAACCGCCAGAGGTCGCTGTATACCTAAAAGCGCCAGCAGGTAAATTTTACCCATGCACATGACAGCTGTATTTATATGGCTAAAGAACATATTATTACACTGTATTATGCCACTGTCTTCACAAAGAAGTGTCTATAGAGTCATGATGCGATGACAAATTCAAGTGCACAGCTTCACCGAAATATTTATTAATTTGTTTAGTTATCTCATTTATAATTTGAATAAGAGAACAACACCATAAACTTTGGGTAATCAAAAAATGGTTTTATTCATTACATCATATAGATCGGATTTTTTCTTCTTCGGGAAACGGCAAGACTTAGAATAGCAACACAGTAGTGAACAATATAAATAAAACTGAAATACACACACACACACTTTAAATGTTGTTCTTGGTGTAATTGCAAAAGTAAGTGTTGTCATTTTTCTTGATTAAGATGGAATCAGTGGTGCCCGGGCTTCCCTAAAAACATGGATAGCGAACAGAATGATCTTCACCCAGATATTCAGTTTGACAAAGAAAAAGATTCACACTTCACTTGGAATTCATTTAAAGTGTAAGTCTGGGGAATGTGTCATGGCCACAGTCCTTGTTTATTTGATAATGAATTTTTCCTCACTTTTCCAGAGTGATTCAGAACAAATACAGTACCATGCAAATAGTATTCATGTCTTTAATTATACTGTATGCATTCTGTTTCAGGCTTATCGAAAACATCTTGGACGCGTCTAAAGGGTACATTCAGCCCTGGGACGATATAAACCATTTTGAACAGATATTGACACGTTATCGCCTCAATAACACTCTGCTAGGTTTGAAGTATTTCTTTGTCAAGAATGTTTGTTGTTATTTTTGTTTGTTTTTGACAATTTTCTTTTTTGAAAACTGGACAGAGAACGTGATCCAAGACTGGAATATGGATTACATGTTTGGCTATCAGTTTTTGAATGGCTGCAATCCTGTTATGATCAGCAAGTGTGTGGAACTTCCAGACAACTTTCCAGTCACACATGAGGTGGTGGAGGGCTCTCTGCAGAGAGGTCTCACGCTAGAAGAGGAATTAAAGGTAAGAAACATGAACACGTAATTCACTTATCAAATCCAAAACTTGTTTGACGTATTGTGACATTTTTCACATACTTTAGTAAATAACTTAGATCAATGTTATTTTAACCTGCAAATCATTTGTTCCAAACTACAGTATACACCTGTGTACACTAAATAAAATATCTCCGTGTTTACAGGCAGGAAACATCTACATAGCAAATTATAAAATCTTGGAGGGATTGCAAGCCAATAAGTCAAGCTATTTGACTGCACCCATCTGTCTACTGTACAACAACAGACTGAACCAAATTGTGCCAATTGCCATTAAGGTGTGTGTCGCATAAAGAATCAATGTCAACTGAAAATCTAAATTACCTAAAAAAAAATTAAGTGCTTTTGCTCTGAATTTCCTCATTGTAATTTACTCATTGTTTGTTGTTTGACCAAAATGTCTGCTTTGTTGACACAGCTCAGTCAAAAACCAGAGGAGGAAATGAGCCCAATCTTTCTCCCAAGCGATGATGAATACGACTGGATGCTTGCCAAGATGTGGGTAAAATCTGCTGATTTTAATGTACACCAGCTGGTCACACACCTTCTCAAGACACACCTGATCTTAGAGGTGTTTGAAGTAGCCATTCACAGACAGCTCTCTGTGGTCCACCCTGTATATAAGGTACATGTTTTTCCATACATGGTCATGATATTTAGATTCAGCATGAAACTGAATATCTTTGTTTCTGATATCTTTGTTTTTCAACCACGGTTTAATGTTTACCAAAAACCTCCAGCGCATGGCATGGAGGACATATGGTCATGACATGTGGCTGAAATGTGAGTCTAATCATGGCAATGAACTTGACAATGAACAGCAACAGCCAGTGAAGTCACTACTGGTGTAACCGCAAACAGTACACAAGCAGCGCACATCATTCACTTCTTGTCTGAAGGTGACGTGGACAAAAATGCCTGAAGTAGATGCTGTTGTTGCCCTTATCAGCAAACTAAGGGGGGAAGAGGGGGAAGTCGTGGCCTAATGGTTAGAGAGTCGGACTCGTAACCCAAAGGTTGCAGGTTTGTGCACTTTGGATGGGATAAATGCAGAGCACTAATTCCTAGTATGGGTCACCATACTTGGCCACATGTCACGTCACTCACTCACGTCACTATGGTTACATGCATAACCTGAGAGATATTTATCATGCTAAATATCTGGATGTGTCAGTGATTCAATATCCTGCTGTGTGAAAGGTGTTCTCTTGAAAATGACATCGGCGATGACATACAGCTAATGAGAGAGCAAGATACAGGGAAGCAGGAAGTTTGCAAAGGTGTTCTAGACCAGAATATCAGCGTCAGCCCAACCATGTCCACCTCCAAACATTTATTTTTCTTTTTCTCTTGATTGCGAGCTTCTTGTGGACTACTATTTTTAACAACAATTCCAGTCTCACATATTATAATTTCCTTATCACTTCTTGCATGTGTTTGGCTGTGAGATGTAGTTTGCGGACCAGACATAGTTGTTGATGATTCTTCCTATTGTAAAGTCATGCAATGATGGCTTTGAAAATCGTGCAATGTGAACTCGGCCTAAGGAGTGGGGCCTCAGCAGAATGACTCTTAAGGGGAGTTCAACCAACACTCCATACACAACAGCAGTCAAGGAGGCTCGCAAAAACATAAACTACTGTAAAATCAATCCCACAGATGGAAGCCTCTGCAGAATAACTCCATAGTGAAAGGAGGCAAACCACACATAGAAAATGAGCTTTGGTGAGTGAAAGCCTCAGCACAACAAATCTCTAAAGTGAGAGAATGCCATAAACACTCCACCAAATACCAGCAGTTAAGGAGGTTCAATAGAGCCAAGCAACTTAACCACACCGAGTAATGTGTGGTTAAACCGAGCTCCAAGTGATGGAGGCATCTGCAGAATGACTCTCTCGAGTGAGAGGAGGCCTGACTATATCCTACTAGTAGAACAGAGCTCTAAGGAGTGGGGCCTCAGCAGAAAGACTATCTAAAGTGAGAGGGGACCAGAAACACTCCACCCAACAACAGCAGTTAAGGAGGCTCAAGAAAGGGAGCCAAGCAACTTAACTAGAGTAAAACTGAGCTCTGTGGACAGAGGCCTCTGCAGAATGACTCTCTATAGCAAGAGGAGGCCTAACTGCATCCTACTGTTCAGACAGAGCTCTGAGAAGCAGAAGCCTCAGTAGAGAGACTCTATAAAGTGAGAGAAGGCCAGAAATGCTCGACCAACCAACAGTAGTTAAGGAGGCCCAGGAAAGGGAGCCTAAAGGCTCTCTCACACTGAATGTAGACATTTGGTACAAATGTTTGGCACAGTGGCACTCTTTAATCACACTGGGTGCGAACAATCCCGGCGTAACACAGTAAAAGGTTAGATATCTTAGACATCTTAGATCTCTAGATTTAACATCATCATCATCATCAACTCCTGCCCTTCCACACATAAAAGATTGAGAGAAAAGTCTCTACAGATGAAACATGAAGCCAAACAGACATATGACATAGGATATATGTTCTGTATGTGTTTTTCCATGCAGCTGTTTTTTTTTATAACAATAAACAATGTTTATGACGAGATAAGTAGGTGTAGCATTCAGTCCATAAAAAAAAAAAAATACAAACAATGCCAGCCTCTTATATAATTGAAATCCATTATAGATCACAATCAGAAGTTATTTCAAGCTCTTGATGATGGTTTAAAATGGGTTTGGAGCAAAAACATCAATACCCACATAATAATCATATAATATAAAAATCATAATATTAATAATCATAAGCATAATAATAATAATAATGATCCTAATTGAATTGTCATGCCTCAAAGTTGAGATATTATAATCATAAACATAATCATAATAATCTTCATAATTTAATTATCATATCATAATTTTAGAAGCCTCTGACAGGAACTGTGCTGGGAGGAATGATGGAGATGTGGAATAAGCGAAACAGTCTTTAATATAATTCAAACGGAGTAACTCACACAGGAAACGACTGGAGACACGAACATGACGAAGTAGACCCGACAGAGAGACTGCACAGACTAGGACTGATGGTGCGTTCAAGTCATGTCGGATAGATCGTATTTACGAGTTGAACGCACATGAACGCCACCACAAAGTCGTTATTACGAGTGGGAAACTCGAAATTTTTTTTAAGCCCCAAGTTTCCGAGTTGGGGGCATGTCAATGAGAAACATGGCGGAATCGATGGATGCAATGTCTGTAGTTGACGGTAAATTTTTGTTTAAATTGATAGTTTAGTTGTCCTATAAACTTAAGTTGGTCATGTTCTTGTTACGCAGCTAGTTAATGAAATCCAAGTAAACAAAATGTAGACCCTGTTGTATTTTCTTGTAATTTATTAAAAGGTACACCGCCATCTTGTGCCGACTAAACTGACTTGAACGCACCTGACGTCGTAATTATGACTTGTCAACTCGTAAGTACGAACGTCCCAGGAGGACTTGAACACAGCATTAAATACTGGAGCAAATTAAGATAATTAACGACACACACCAGGACCAAATAACACAATCAAACATGAGGGAAAACACACACAGAGTCCATGGGCGTGACACTCGCCATATAGTTAGGGTGACGTAGAGAAGCGTAACTCAGCTAATTTCACTCCACAACAAATCCATTAAATTGAACAGTATTCATAACAAAATAAGAATAAGAAAATAACAGCTATAAAATATGCAAACATTTGGATTCTTGCCAAATGAGTGAGGTATGTAGTCCCGATGCTATTTCACTTTTGCTTTAACTAAATTAATTGGCTTTGCACTAAACTCCCATTCCAATATCCACATACTGTATACTCCTTCAGATGTGCAAAAATGTGTTTGCTTGGGCACTGGTGTCAGACATGCTGTACAGCAGACCATTTAAATTGAGCAGTTTAACTTTTTTTAATGCAACTGCATTTGAATGTAGTTTAGTTTGAAGATGAAAGGTTGAAATGTCAAGTTAGCAACGCTAGAAAGGGTATGCTGTGCACATGTGAGGCACCCCAGTGTCAGTATAGGGTTTAATAAAATATAGCAAATATAGGTTAGTGTCACACAAATGAGTGTAGGCTACTACTGTCACACCCCTTTAGGGACTTTTGTTGTGTTTTTATTACTCATGTTCTGTGACCCAGTTTTCCCTCATGTTTGATTGTGTCATTTAATTCAGGTGTGTCTGGTTAATTATCCTCATTTGCACCACTATATTAGTTGTGTTCTGTTCTCTGTTTGTTGTCCGGTCTACTAAGTCACTACGTGTTCATCCGGCCTGTCTGTCCTGTGTTTGCCCTATTCTGGAATATTAAAGACTATTTGCATCTATCTTCGCCTTCTTCGTGCGTGTATCTCACCGTAGCATGCCTTTTCCCCGCATTTTCTTTTCGTTTTTTTTTTAAGTCTTTTGTTCTTTATGGATTGGGTGGCAAAATTCTCTGTTGTGGCTCGAGAGATTCTGTCTTGGCCCTGGGATTCGCTCCCCTTGCCGTCACATCCCATTTCGATGACGAGATGTTGAAATCCCTGTTCCAGATTGGGGTGAATTATCATTGCCCCGTGGACCTCCCAGACACCACCGTACTGAACTGGAGGGAGGACATGTTTCTGTGTCTAGAGAGCGTCCTACACGGATTCGGAACACGACAGGACCCAGAGCCCAGTCCACCATCACCCCGCTGCGTGGAGCAAGAGCCAGAGCCAGAGCCCGCCGCGACCGACGAGCCAGAGCCATATGGAGCGACAGTGCTGAGGATCGCCCCAGAGCTAGAGCCCAACACGTCAGACCAGGTGCGAGAGTCAGCTACAGAGCTCGCCACAGGGGAGAGCACTATGAACAGCGAGAGTGCGGAGGGAAGCTCCGTCCACTGCACCATGGCTGAGGGTGAGCCGAGCTCAATGGACTGTGATGTGGATATATATGCAGACATGCTCCCTCTTCTCCCGCCTTCGTCTGAACTCTCTGTCTGCCCTGAACTATCTGCCAGTTGACCATCCGTCACCTCGGGACCCAACTCCTCCGGCTGCGGCTCGTACTTCCGTCCCTCTGGCTCTGTCAGGCTCCTCCTTCCCTCCGACTCTACCTTGGTCCTTTGTCTTGAACTTTTGTTGTGTTTTTATTCCTCATGTATTCTGTGACCCAGTTTTCTCTCATGTTTGATTGTGTAATTTAGTTCAGGTGTCTGTTTAATTATCCTCATTTGCTCCACTATATTAGTTGTGTTCTGTTCTCTGTTCGTCAACCGGTCGACTAAGTCCCTACATGTTCCTCCTGCCTGTCCGTCCTGTGTTTGCCCTATTTGGAATATTAAAGACTATTTGCATCTCACCGTAGCGTGACAACTACTTGTCGCAGGTTTTTTTTTTAATCTATCAATTATTAAAGTGAAAAGTAAAGTATTTCATATTCATATTAACGCTAGTTTATTCCACTAATATAGGCCTACTTCATTTTTATAATTTTTTTTTCATGCACAAGTGCTGCATGTGCGTGAATGATGTGTGAATCCTATGCTTTGTGCATGTAGGAAGCATCATTATGCATCGTAGGATCAATTAGGATCCAAATCCTATGATAGGATCAAAATAGCAGGATTAGAGCCTTCAGTGATGATTCCTCAGCATGACTTCCAATTTGAAAGGGAAACACTTTTCCTGTTTGAGGTTATGCTTTTTAAAAAAATGGTATGATTTAATGCACGTTTAAATTTATTTTTTTTTTGCTTATTACAGTTACTGATGCCTCATGTCCGTTTCACAATTGCAATCAATGCAAAGGCCCGTAAAATTCTCATCAGTCAAGACGGGATCTTCGTCAAGGTAGCTTTACACCTAATTTAATATATCCA